TTATAAAATTCAATAAAGCCAATTCAATTTTTTTTTAAATATTTGTATATAATTATTTCTAGAAAATCTAAAGTTCCAGTTGTTTCTTCGTAGCCAAATCATGTTGATCAGTGTTATGAAAGTCCTAAGTGGCTTATATTAACAGCTGAATTTATTAGAACTTGTAGCTAAAGTGGGTGTGTGCAAGCAACTGTGTGTGTGTGCGTGTGTGTGGATGTGAATCCCTGACAATATGTGCGACTGTGCGATTGCGTGAATCCATTAATTTGCATACAATAAGAAGAGTGCTTCTTTAATCAAGTTTTGTGCAATATATTCATTTGTTTTTGTTTTTGATCCAAATAAGCGAATAGCGATGAAAGTGACAAATTGTGACTAAAAGATACCCTATCTGATTGTATTTGTATATCATAATCTAATTATATGTATGTTTTTTTTTTTTTTTTTTTTTTTTTTTTTTTTTTTTTTTTTGCCCAGTTGTCGTGAATATATAATTTGTTTGTCAATATTTATAATAGACCTACAGTAACGATATGTTTCAATTTAGCGACTATGGCTAGAACACTGTGCAGCTTCTTCTTCATATGGCATGCTCCCTCCTATCTGACAATCTTTATTACTATAAATCTTTATTATTATAAGACGAGGGAATCAACAAGTATATGTGCCATAAGTCAAATTTTATTCTTTGGCTGCAATTAAGTCGAAATGGTTTCCGTTTATACTGAAACCTGTAAATAACTGAACAGTTAACAATGAGTTGACATCAGTTTATCCGACTAGAATATACCGAGCATATACAAAGTCGAAGCTGAAAGATTAGTGGGGAACAACTCGTATACTGTGGCAAATAAATATATTGACTCAATTCTTTATTGAAAAATATCATCAATCCATATATACAAAAGACCAACTTAATAAATCTAATAAAAAATAGCAGCGTTGCCAGACAAGTTCAAAGCTTAGTTATATACAAAAAAAAAAAACACATTCATAAATTTCAACTGCAATTCCAGGTGCCACTTTCACTTATTTACGGCGCTGAGCGTTAAAAATGACTTGGCAAAAATAATGGAAGCGCTGATTAGCGTATAATAAGGCAAGCATTTAAATGGGAGGACTGTCCAAGCCAGTTCTGAGACAAACACACAACAAAACAAAAAAGAAGATAAATTAAACAAAATGTGAAATGTTTTTAGAAATATTAGACTCAAACAAGAGAAGTCAATAAACTTATTAATTTGATGACTATCAAAGAGTTGAAGGATAAATGGCTTCATTGTCTGATGACAGATTAAGAGAGCCAAATAATTTTCGATAAATCTTTCTAAATACACAAAGCTAAAGATGTCTTGACTTGATGTTTTCTTACATTTACTCAAAACTCTTGCATCTTGCAAAACAGATTTAAGATATTTTTAAAATTTATTGCTAAACAAAATTGCGGAATTCTAAAATATTAATTTCAAACATATTTTTTTTTTAAATAAATATCTATTTTTTTATAATAACTAGAGAAATCTACATCATATTTAAATATATTAAAACAATTCGAAATCTAAAAGATTTTTTATTTATTTGTAAAAATATATATTTTATTAAACTAAAAAAAAATTATTTTTTGACCTCCTTACAATTTTTTTTTTTTTTAATTTGAAAAAATAAAAAAATAACAATTATTCAAAATATTTTTTTTTAATGTTCTTTATTGACAAACAGAATATGTACAAAAACTGAAAGTTCTGTTCTGGAGCTTGGATTAGATGAGCTTCGTCTTGGACAGTTTACCAACCGCCGCCCCAACGGCGACCTCCCCATCTACCGCCACGACCACCCCAGCTAGACAATCCTCCACGTCCGCCCCAGCTAGACAATCCTCCACGTCCGCCGGCCCAGCCAAGGCCGCGTCCATAGCCTCCACGCCAGACTTGGCGGGCTTGACGGAGACCCTCGTTCTCATGTGCATTTCCATCCATCTCAAGGCTGAGCAGATTGAGCTGTGCGTCAGGGTACTGCTCCTCAGCCTCGATGTCGGCCAGGGCATAGGTGTAAGCGAGGCATACCACGCCGATAAGTGCCAAAAGTGTGAAGCGCATCCTGATAGTAGAATTCCTTAAATGGATTTTGTTTATTACTTGGTTGGTTGAGTGATTGTGCTTTACTGATGCCTAATGCTTTGATCCGTCGGCCTTTTATTTGCCAATCCAGAGCCTGGCCAGAACCGGATGAGCTGTTCCCGTTCCTGTTCTCGTACGCATTGCCTGATTTTAAGTGACACACAGTACTTAAAATCCACAAACAATATTAGAATGGGAATGGGGATGGGAATTTTTGTTTACTTTTTGCCTGGTGTCGAAGCCAGGCATTGTTACTTTCACAATGTTTTCATTTATTTATTGCTCTGTAGATTATTACACCTGTTCTGCCTGCGGTTGTTGTTGTTGCTCAAATTAAATTTCTTTTGTTTTAACTCTTGTTATTGTTATACAAATTATGCATCTAAGCAGGTCACTGTGCAATGCCCACTTAATGGGGAGAAGCTGCTCATTAATAATGCTAATGTAAGTGTTGTAAAGGGGAGGATACAAGCGAGCTGTTTGGGGCTTTAGTGTTACTACTACTACTATTACTACTATCACGACTACTACTACTAATACTATTACTACTAATAATACTATTACCACGACCACCACTACTACTACTAATACTATTACTACTAATAATACTATTACCACTACCACCACTACTACTACTAATAATATTACTACTAATAATACTATTACCACTACCACCACTACTACTACTACTACCACCACTACTACTACTACTACCACCACTTCTACTACTACTACTAGTACTACTACTACTACTACTACTAGTACTACGACTACTACTACTACTACTACTAGTACTACTACTACTACTACTAGTACTACTACTACTACTACTAGTACTACGACTACTACTACTACTACTACTAGTACTACTACTACTACTACTACTACTCTTACTACTACTACTACTACTAGTACTACTACTACTACTACTACTACTACTACTACTACTCTTACTACTACTACTACTACTACTACTACTACTACTAATACTACTACTACTACTACTAATACTACTACTACTACTACTACTACTACTACTACTACTACAGCTACTTCTTATTAATACTAGTTCTAATTGTTTTATTATTGCTACTACTATTAATCAATACATCAAGATTAAATGATCTACAAGTATTATTGTAAAGTCCCATAAGCAGTCTATCGCAAGTGAACTACTTGAATAACAAACGGCAAGTCATTCGCTACAGCTATGCTAAATGTATATACTATGAATACAGAATACATAAGTAGAGCTACAGTCAAAAGTCCAATAAGTAAACACTCGAAATTCGCATATAATCGTGAATTGTTCTCTATGACACACTGATGCATTATAGTGGAACAAAACAGAAAAAAATATCCAAAATATCAAAACAAATTAGCTGAAACGAAATATTCAAATTGCGCATAGCTAAGCTGATATGACACATGTATGTATATATACCGCTTTTTATAATGCAAATTGGTTAAATGAATAATTGGGAAGCTAAAGAGCTAAACTTGTTTCTAAGCTCAATTGTGATATACTTCTAATGCGCTGCACATTATTAACTGTGAGGAATGACAAATTAAAAATTGCTATTTATGATTAAGGCTTTGCATAGGATTACAAAATTTTGAGGTAAATAAGCAGACTTTATAGAGCCTTCTACAGCAACTTTACATCTAATCAACAATGACCGATAAATCTATCAAATCCGATGCATAGTCTAGAAAAGACTTATACATCTGAGCAAACCATACCACTATTGAGTTACAATTCACAAAATCCATCGACACATTCTTACCCTAGAATTAGAGCACCCAAAAACTGAACGCATTGAAGACTTTGATCGGCAAGTTTTTGAATCGGCATGGGGTATCTGTTGATCTCACACCTCACACTCAACACTAAACTTTTCACAAATTAATTAATACATTTCAATATATAAAGTAATATGACATTTACTTTGTTTTCAAACATATTCAGATTACATTACAAAATATTTATTTTTGTGGTATGATAATAAAAATCCACTCCAGATTAACGGCCATAGCCATAACGACCATAGCCACCACGGCCAAATCCTCCATATCCATAGCCACCACGGCCAAATCCTCCATATCCAAAGCCACCACGGCCATATCCTCCATATCCAAAACCACCACGACCATATCCCCCATATCCGAAACCACCTCGACCATATCCTCTACGTCCATATCCAAATGCACGGGCCTCTCGAGCGCCTTCGTTCCCATGTTGATCGCCCTGATCGGCGAGACTTAGCAGCGATAGCTCGCTATTGTCATCCTTAACTGAATCATCCTCCAATGGCTGGCCGTAGCCCAAGCTTAGGCATACGGCTCCCACAATTATCAGCAGCAATAGTGTTAGGCGCATCTTTCCGGTTCTAATGCAATTCTCAACTGACCCCAGCCTGAGTAATGCCAGACCTATTTATTGCAGATTTGGCAAGATGAATTGTTGTTTCAGCTTTATGGAAATACCCATAATTTGTAGGCGCTTATGATTAATTAGTCTCGGAGGGGCGCATTAAAATGTAAGTCCGAACGCTTCAGCTCATTTACTTAGTATTGTTGAATGTGAATAATATATGTATTACTGATTCGTATGGCCAAGAATGTAATAATTCAATTTTGGAATTAGATAACATCAAACGGCAAAAGGACTCATGGAGCCTATCTATTTCATCATATGGTAGCTAAGCTTGAATATTAATATTATTATAGGCATTCTCTCTTGCCCTCTCTCTCTCTCTCTCTCTCTCTCTCTCTCTCTCTCTCTCTCTCTCTATGTCTACTCTATGCCTGCATTTCAACCTCTCCTTAGTGTCTAAACAGTATGTTTCATGAAATGTAAATACAGCTAACATACAGTAACAGAACCAAACGAGTAGTCAGCACTGAACATTCTTCATGCCGTTACCAAGGCTCGTTGAGTCCAGTTAACGACCAAACAAGCAACAGCCAGAAAATGCACGTGGCCGAGTTTCTGCATCGAACCAATCGACGCAATCGAAATACCCAAATCGAGTGCAGTGTAGAACGTAAGCTAGGCGAATATGCTGAAGATTTGGATAGACGTCGTCATCAGCTCGCTCACCAGCTCCACAGCGAGGAGCAGCAGCTGTATGAGGAGCTGGCGGAGCTGCAGCAAGCCCAGACGGACTTGGAGCAGAATAAGCGCATTGAATGGATCCAAATGACGCTGATGAGAGACGAGGCAGCGGAACGCGAGCTGCTCGAGCAGAAGCAACAGCAGCGAGAAATGTGAGTCAGCTGAATTTGTTGCAATCGACATTTCCTTAGAAATATAACTTGACTCCCCTGCAGTGAAAACTCAGAGGAGCATCGCCACGAGGAGACGAGGCAAATATTGCTGGCTACCAAAGAGGCGCAGCTCTATCAGATTGAGGAGCGCAAAGAACGGCGACGTCGCGCTGCCCAAATGGAGGCGATTTGGCATCAGAATGAATATAAATTCATATGAAATACTAAATACAAATAAATTTGAAGCCAACCTCGACTCGACTCGATTCGACTTATAAATAAAATCCCGTTCGCTTTGAATTTATTATGTGGAATGCAAAAGGTAGCAGCAAATTAAGTAGGTGTGAATCTTTGTTAAATACTAGAAACTAGTTGAGACTTATAAAGATATTAAGCTTCCAAACAAGCGTCGAATGTGAAATACTCTGGAATGGAGAAGAACTGAACAGATGATGTTACTAATATTAGCATATTTAGAGTCAGCCTATTTGATCAATGACATGCATCTACTCTTACTCTTGTGGATTCTGTTTAAATATTGATGAGCTTGCACATATTTCATTTACTCGATCAACGTCACAGGCTTCGCTGTGATTCCCTTCCATTCTAGCGTCAATTAACACCTTCATAGATGATCAGCGAAATCGTTTTTGTATGACTAAGTGTTGAATTATTCTGTTCAATGGCGATTAGCTAACTTTCAAATTTTATAGCTAATTATTTAAAGTAAGTGATAGAGCTGATCCCGCTATTAACCTTTCGTAAAGGTAAACAAAATAAAGGTTTTTTTTATGAGCTTTTGTCTAAACTCTATTAAATATGAAATAATATGTAAATTCCGTTCTATCGTTTACGGCCTAATCATAATAGTATGATGTATGTCTTATGATCTATGATCTGTGATCTGTGATCTATGATTGATGATCATTGATCTATGATCTATGACCACTAATCTGTTATCTATGATCTGTTATCTATGATCTATGATCTATCATCTATGACCTATGATCTATGATCTATTTCCTATGATCTATAATCAAATTTACTATAACCAGTGATTTTTGATCTATGCCATCTAGCTCATATTTAAACAAGTGTTGTTTCAAACATATGATCAAAGTATTTTTATTACATTCTTATGTATTTCATTACATACCAAAAAATTGAAAAATATTTTAAAAGCATTTTAAGTGAACAAAACTTAAATATTAATTTTATAGTAAATCCAAATCATTTCCATGTATACAATCGGCGTCGTCAATATTTCGCATCATGAGACTAATCTAGTAGATTACCACCAATAATAATAATAATAGTAGTCGTTGCAGGGTGGCTGGGGAAAGTAAGTGTAGCTACGTGACCAAGGGCCGCCATATATATGGCGTAATTTACGAGCTCCTTGGTCTGAGTGTTGGGTGCCCATGTCAGCGACATCCTTCAAGGTAGCTACTGAGTCATTGTCCTTGTCCTTATTGTCCTGGTGCTGCAGCGCCTGCTGCAGCTCCATCTCCATCTGCTCCAGCGTAATTGGAGCCGGCAAACCACAGGCAAAGCTGGCAATTGCAAGCACGAACAAAATGCACAGTTTCATTGCGAATAAATCGAGGAATACGAACTGTCTACCAATAGGTCTATTGGGTATATTAGGAATATTGGGGGCCAACTGCCACTTTTATACTCCCGGTCCAAGACTTGCACTTTGCACTTCCAATTAAAACTATTGACACCCACTATTTAGCCACGTTCTTTGCCTAAATGACTTTGCACTCTAGCGGGTTGTTTGTAGTGCAGGGCAAACAAGGTCCATTGCTTTATAAATAACACAATAGCCAAAAGTTCTTTCACTCTCAAAAGTCAATTTTTTTTTTTTTTTTTTNCGATATAGTGACAGACTGGCTAGACACCGGAGCAGACTAGCGAGAAGATTGCTTCCTGCGAGACCACTAAGGCGATTAAAACGCTTGGGTTTTGCCAAAAATATGAGATAAGTCGTTTAGGGATACTTGTAAATATATATTTGTAAGTCCTCCTGAATACATCAGAAGGTTAGGTGTTATATAAAAATTCGAATTGTGTTGTTAAGGTACTAAACTTGCATTGTACAGATTCAGCGCTTAAAATATATATACAAAAAAAAAAAACAACACAATTAGAATTTTTATATAACACCTAACCTTCTGATGTATTCAGGAGGACTTACAAATATATATTTACAAGTATCCCTAAACGACTTATCTCATATTTTTGGCAAAACCCAAGCGTTTTAATCAAAAGTCAATAGCATATATTTAAATTCTAATTTATGTCAATTAGCAAGCGTGTGTTAGCGTCAAATCAAAACATACTTTTAGGCTGGCACAAAATACCTCAATGTATTGAATAGGCTTGCATATAATTTCAAATCCTTGAGAGAAAAATATTGCAAATTTATCGATAAATTTCTTAGGCAAACAGTGCTGCCAATGCTTCAAAGTGAATCCCCTGTTTGAGTTCATTCAACTTACTTAGAATCCAGTCAATCATGAAAAAAATATATATAATTGCAACTCATGCTGAGTAATATATTAAATATAACAATTAATAAACAAAATTAATGCAATAACAATATTAAATATTTTAACAGACTTCGCTTACAAATACTTCATTAATCACTTAGAGTAAACGAGTTTAGCCACTGAGGTTGCTCAAGATATTACTTAGCGCTTGCGCATTGATGCCAGCACCACCAGCACCACCTGCACCACCATTGGCCAAAAGAGGACGCAAACTGCTGCCCAAAGCTTGGCCCAGTAGCCCAGCGATTTGTGCTGCCTGCGCCGTGGTTAGCTGTGAGCCAGCTCCACCTGTTGCCGTGCCACCTGAGCCGGGACTGGAGCTGACTGGCGTTGGATAGGCAGCGGGTCTGTTGCCATAGTTGCCAGCGTTGCCATAGTTATTGAAATTGTTGTAGTTGGGCCGATAGCCGTTGTAGCTGCCTGGATATTGTGTGGGTCGCTGGTAGCCGGCATAGTTGTTGTAGTTGTTGTAGTTGGGTCTATTGTAGTTGTTGTAGCTATAGTAGGGTCTGTTGTAGTTGTTGTAGCTGTAGTTGGGTCTGTTGTAGCCCAAGTAGTTGGCATAGCTGGGATAGCCCAAACCGAAGCTGGGATAGCCTAGGCCCAGACTGGGATAGCCATAGCCATAGTAGTTGCCATAGCCCGGATAGCCACCTCCACCTGCAACTCCAGCTCCTCCATAGTAGGAATCCGACTGTGTGCCAGCACCGCTGCCACCTCCACTGGTGCCACCCACGGGCAGCACGGGCACATCGTACAGCGGACTCGCCCCCGCGCCGAGCAGCAACGGCGCCAGCAGACCCAATGTGCGTCCCTGTGGTCGATCCGATGCTTTCGATTTGCTCTTCTGGGCAGCCACCAGCGCGAGGAAGACAACGAGCAGACAGAAACGCGAGCGCCAATACATTTTACAAACTTAACTCTGGCGACGCTCGAACACAAACTAAAGCTGCGGCACTTCACCAAATTTAGTTTTATATATGTGCTAAGGGTACAGAAACAACCACGCCCCTTAACAACTATTTGTTGGCCAAATCTGTTACGGAAACTGGCAGACCTTCGGCGCATCCAATATTTGTTGCCAAAATTCACAACGGAACCGCGCCAAACGCACACGCAAAGTAAGAAACGCGCTTGAAACGCCTCGGAAACGCGCCGAAATCGCGTCATGGACTGGTTTTCATGCTTTCACGCATGCTCAAACGACTGCAGACGCTGCCTGACATTGACCTTACTCCACGACTCGGCAAATATTGACCAAATAGGTAACAATGAAGCGAAAACAGTAAACACTAATAAAACACGACTAACACATACTGTGTAAAAGATTTGAGGTTAATCAAATGTGGATTTGAGACGAAAACATTCAGCTTAGAAGGCGTGTGTGGGTAGCCTATGATCAGTATATAAGAGCTAAGGTGTATATAGAGATGTGAACTTAATTTGTTTAACATATAGATTATCTGTAGGCGCTCTGAGTAAATGAACAGGTTTTGCGGATTTATTATACATATCAAAAGGCTTTTTGGTTTTTCATATTTTATAAATTTTACTACATATATATCTTTATATAAAAGACTGTGTCTGTATAATAGAAAAATTAACAATATCATATATTGGATTTACCTAGTTATAAATCTAAAAACATACTCATATTTAAACTTATATACACTGACACATATATTCCCTACATTTATATCTAACACTTTCTCGTATCAACTCTCAAAGTCAACATACCCTATTCAAATCAATTTCAATGGGTATACTAAAACTGTTTCACACCGCTAATGCGTTATTATTGTTTGTTTTTTTTTTTTTTTCGTTCACTTCCGCGGGTTTTTCAAAAGTTTATGGAACTTGTTTGCTTTATGGGATGAACTAGAATTATATGAAATATGATATAAGGTATTTTAAGACGTCTATAATTATATTTACTTTCAGTAGAAATACCTCGACAAGTGCGTAAACAAAACAAGTACTCGACTTAAATAGAGGGCTAAGTGTAATGAATGGAATTTTCTGTCAAGGTCTTACTATTTCCTCAAGCAATTTATCTACAAGTTATTTAATAAGTCATTTAATCTCTGAAGAGTTGATTGATTTTGCAAGTAAGAAAATCTCCCCCTATAGAGTTCGTTAACCGCCTTCCAGCTAAATATGCATTTCTGTGGGAGAATTATTTGAATGAATGTAAACACATGTAATCTATCTTGATTATCATGTGATTCTACAATTATTAATTAGTCTATAATCTTTTTTTCTGTCATCTCTGTTGATGTCTGGACAGAGCAATTAGATATTTGTATATCAACCAGTTCTCATTTCTGTTGTCTCATTAATTTGACTCATGTTTTGTCTAAACGTCATTCACATTTTGTTCATATGAACTTTTTGTTTAAATTTGATGTGCACTGAGCGAAAATTTTACCTAACATATATGAATTTGAAGCATATTTTCACAAAACAACGATTTATGATCTCAACTTGGCAAAAGCCTAAAAATATGCTTCAGATAAAACAGTTCTAACTATCGTATATTATCAATAATTTAAGAGAATTTGTTAAGAATTTTATTATGTATTCTAATAGCAATTCTTCAATTGCAATTTAAATATTTATATCTATAATGTTTTGTTTTTCAATTTAATAATACAGATTTTGTTTAAAGTTTCAAAACAAAATTTAAAAAAAATCCTGGAATTTAAAATTGTTTTTAATTGGTTTAAAATACATAGAAAAATGGTTTCTTAAAAGCTAATTTCATGACGCCGCGCGACACTTGTTTTAGGCAAAAAGAAAACGAAAACAAATTAAGTACTCTTAATAAAAATATAGATATAAACAAAAACGGGTTTTTAATGCCAGAAAAAGAAAAAAGATTAGTGAATGAAAAAAGTATTGAAATAAGTAGCCGCTGAGACAAACTCTTAACTGCGCAGTTCTGCAATCAAACTGAAAGGTCAGTGATCAGAGTTCTTAACAAGTTTTTAATTATTTTCGATTGTCGCTTGTTGACGAGCGAAAGCAATAATAATCCAAAAAATATCAAGTGTAGTACAAGAAAATACCCTATAAATTATGAAATTTGAGGCATGAAAACATAGACAAACTTTATATAACTAGAAATAAACTTAATTATGATTGGCTCTAAAACTTGTCATAGCTTCAACTACCTCTTATGCTTTCTATACATACAGGGTATTGACAGAATGAATGCCTTACAGAGTACATTTTATATTCTTTAAGAGTATTACACTATCCTATTTAAGAACGCTAAACTACCTCATATAATTCCCCAATTTACAGGGTATTTTCTCAGTGAGTCCCCAGCTGAAGAGGTTTATTGTTTATGGCTACTCTGTGAGAAGTTCTGGCTTTGCAACAATGTAGGTCTTTGGCTCTAGGCCAAACTAATGAATGGCATCCAAAAGTAAGCACCCAATGCGGGGGCATCCGAAACGAATGCCTTGGGGGTCTGGGAATTCCATTTACAAGCTCTGGTGAAATCATCGAAAACGAAAAACAATTTGAAAACAAAAATAATGATAGATGCTTGAAACTAATGATGCGCTTGGCAGGATGAGCCAACAATCAGATTCGCATAGTTGCTCTCTTTCGGGGCATCCCCGTTCAAATATCGTCGCCTATAAAAGATCTCGACAATCGCTAGAACCCAAATAGAAGCAATTGCAAAACTAAACATGAAACAATTTGTGGTGCTGGCGCTCGTCTACTGCCTGGCCTTAAGCCTGACTTGGGCTCAGCCACTGGTGCTGGAGGAGGTGGAGCAGAAGGAGCAGCCACAGCAGCTAACGCTTGAGGATGTGGATGCGCAGCCAGTGAATGATGCGGATGGAGCACGTGAGGCTCGAGGCTTCTGCTGCGGCGGTGGTTTCGGTGGTTTCGGAGGTCGTGGCTTTGGCGGAGGTTTCGGTGGTCGTGGCTTTGGCGGTGGCTTCCGACGCTTTGGCGGCGGTGGTTTCGGTGGCTTCCCGGGCGGTTACGGCGGCTACGGCGGTGGCTATCCAGGCGGCTTCGGTGGCGGCTATCCAGGCGGTGGCTTTGGATCGGCSTCAGCATCGGCCTCGGCCTCGGCCAGCTCTAGCTTTGGCAAATAGACGTAATCGACTTTTAATGTAAAACGAAACAAAATGAAATTTAATAAAACAAACTGAGTAATACTCGCTTATGGGCCAAAAAATTAATAAATAAATATATAGAAGTATACTTATTTATTTTAAAATCAGCTTAAGCAAGGCTTTTGAATAACTTTTTGAAGGAGTTTATCTAAACAATCTAAGCTTTTTTTTCCTGAGTGCCTATAAACTCTTTTGCAGTCGTATATATATAAAATTCATAGCTAACAAGACAAGGAATTTCTTTTACACTCTTCACTTTATAATAGTATTTAAATTAAAACAAATACGTAACACTTTTCGTTAACAAAGAACTGAAAAAAAGCTGGAAGATTTAGGGGGCACGGTTTCTACGCATTCGCCGAATAAACTGTTGTTGGGAAGGTGCTATAGTATATATGTAGCTCAGCTGTTGACGCCTGCTACCAGCCGGTTTTTTTTAGCAAGCAAACAACAACAAATAAACAACAGAGTCAACAATCTTGGCATTTACAATAATACTATTTATATAACACAACAAAATATCAAGCAAATATGAAGAATTTATTTTTATCACAAAAAGAAGTAAAACAAACAAAGTAATGAGAGAAAAATAGCTAAGAATATTCCACTCTATTTATTAATTTACTACGGCATATGGCATTAATTAATTATATATACATATAAAATACTACTGAAGCTGAACCTTTAATTTAATTTTTTCTTCAAATTTCGACTAGACAATTCATTAGACGTTTTTTAATTATCATTTATTATCGCCGAAAAATAAGAGGTGATACATGATTTATAAATTAGTCATCAACAATTGTTTTTGTTTAAGACTGGATGAGTCAAAAATGCTTTTGCGGTTGAAATTAATGAATTAAATAAATCAAATAACTTTATAGTAATTGAACAAAATATAAACAAAAAAATAATTAATTTATGCAAATGAATTAATTTAATATATACTCAAAATTTAAGTAAAAGCCAAATAAATAAATAAGGAACATACTAAATAAAAGGGCAAATAATTATTTTGAATAATAATTTTGTATTTTCTTGAATAATTTTATTTTTGCTTCTTATTTTGATTTATAATATATTAAATAAACATTATTAAAAACCTACAACATTTATTCAATGTAAAAAATATCTATTACAAAAGACAAAAATTTAATAAAATATATTTGCAATACATTTTTATTATTTATATTTAAGCGAATTGAAATTGGCTATTCTTGGCGATATAAATGGAGATATGATGAAAATATATATGTATATGTATATACCTATATTTTAGCTGTCACAAGCTGTATGCAGATCAAATCCCTGAATATCTGGTTTATTGAACTTGAACTTAAGTCGTATTATCAAGTTATTTTTCCTTTGGACAGAGTATGTTATCGCTTGATTATTAATATACACATTCATTCAGTCTTGATTGAAACCTGATAACACATATTTTTGGAAAAATATTTGTTCAATATCTTAAGTTAAGAATCCGTAAATATTTATAACAAACATGTCACCAAACTCCCATGACATGCCAAGCCTAGCCCAACACCGCCTCCTCTTTTCTCAAATTGTCGTCGTTTCTTCATATTCAATTTGGTGTAATATGAAAAATAACACGGAAATAAACTTGGGTATGATAAAATGTGATTTATGATAAGTAGCCAATTAGCATCTATTTATTTTGTTTAACAAGAATTACAGAAAACGCAAATAAACATAAGCTAAACTTAGACCTGGCAGCTAAATGGGACTATACAATATATTGTAGCCATATATTGCTTGCTGTAAACATGCTTTGGGTAAGAGTGCACGACTTTGAAATACTCTGGACGCCAACAGAGAGTCGAACAGTCGAAGAACGCATGGACGTCCTGAGAAACGAACAGAGAGATGGAGAGATGGACTTATAGGTAGTTGTACGAAATCGGAATATTAATGAAATAAATCTAGACTGATGGATAAGGCAAATGATGAACATTCTTTATAGATAGGGGGATTAATGGGCGTACGGGCTTAGCAACATTAACTCAACTTGTATACCTGCTCAAGAATAAATATATATGCTTTATGTAATCTACTACGCCTCTTTCTAACTGTTAATTAAATTACTGATTTGAAATCAAATTGGGGAGTGCAAAAGATTTATCTAGAATCATACTGGTGAAATATATTTGATTCACAGCACCTTTCGCATAAAAACAATAAAGTCGCAAATTAGGCGTTAATAAATGCCACACAGATGGATCGACTTGCAGCTGAGCTCAGTTTTCAACTTGAATTGAACGTCACCGTTTAAAGTTAGACGGAAATGTTATTCAGGTGATAATCAACCGTCTGACGGTCTGTCACAAAAATTAGCGATTGTTCGTATAAAATGGGTTGAGAGCCGACAGCTGTCAAACAGAAACAAAAGGAACTTCAACTGGAGCACACCCAAGACAATAGCAACAGCAGCAGCAGCAGAATCTGGAGCTGATTACAAATTCACTATACAAAATGAAGATCACATTGATCCTGGCACTTTTGCTGGCTACAATCAGCCTTATGCAGGCGGCACCTGGGAGTAATCCCTATGAGGCCATCCACTCTGCCTACGATCTCAGCGGACACCCCGTGAGAGAGAAGCGTGCGAGCTATCAGGAAGACTATTATATCTGCTATCCAAGTCGTGTGGTCTACGGCTACCATAACATTCCCAGCTCCCTGGGCACACGTCGTCGTTACAAACCTCCAGACCAAGAGGTGGACTTACTCTAAGACTTGAGGAAGACAGATGGGATACAAGTAATAGTCATTAGGATATACGCACAGGTGTTAAAAATACTATAATTATTTATTTATTATTATGTGTACTAGATGAAAATAAAGAAGTTAAGAAACCTAAACTAAAATTCATTTGAAATTTGAATTAATTATGGGATTGATATTGGTATCTAGATATCGAGTTACGAATTGATTTAGCTGTTGCCTGCTATGCTACAAATGATTTAAAAGATCAAGAAACTGATAAAGCTAATCCGATTACAGATTGCTTGACATACACAATGGGTTTGATGTGTCATTGGGATCTGCATTCAGTTCTAGGATGGACTTATAGGGAGTTGTACGAATGGATGATTGAATAAGAGCCGGAATTCGAACAAATATACAAATAAATCTAGATTGATGAATCTTTATATATGGAGGGACTAAAAGGAATAAGGACTTAATAAGATCAACTGAATTTGTATACCTGCTCAAGAATATATATATGCTTTACGTAATCCAATACGCCTCTTTTTAGCTGTTAACCAAATTACTCATTTGCAGTCAAATTGGGGATTGCAAAAGAATTATCTATGAGGCACTCATACTGGTGAAATATATTTAATTCACAGCGCCTACCGCAACAGTCATAAAAACAATAAAGACGCAAATTGGGCGTTAATAAATACCACACAGATGGATCGACTTGCAGCTGAGCTCAGTTTCCGACGTGAATTGAACGTCACTCTTTAAAGTTGGACGGAAATGTTATTCAGGTGCTAATCAAACCGAACGAGGCGGCTCGGTCAAAAATTAGCGATTGCTCGTATAAAATGGGTTGAGCGCCGACAGCTGCCAAACAGAAGCAAAAGGAATTTCAACTGGAGCACACCTAAGGCAATAGCAGCAGCAGCAGCAACAGAATCCATATACAAAATGAAACTCACACTGGTCCTGGCACTTTTGCTGGCTACAGTCAGCCTTATGCAGGCAGCACCTGACAGCAATCCCTATCAGGCCATCCAGTCTGCCTACGATCTCAGCGGACAGCCCGTGAGAGAGAAGCGTGCGAGCTACGGCGACTACTATATCTGCTATCCAAGCCGCGTGGTCTACAGCTACCATAACATTCCCAGCTCCCTGGGCTCACATCGTCGTTCCAGCTACGACTACGACTCCTATGCCCGCAAGAATCGTGGGAATCTAGACCACGAGGTGGACTACTTTGGCGGATAGTTGAGAGGAAAGCCTACTCTAAAATAAATAGTCATTAGGATATTCGCACAGGTGTTAAAAATACTATAATTATTTATTTATTATTATGTGTACTAGATGAAAATAAAGAAATTAAGAAACTTAAACTAAAATTAATTTGAAAATTTAATTAATTATGGGATTGATATTGGTATCTAGATATCGAGTTACGAATTGATTTAGCTGTTACCTGCTATGCTACAAATGATTTAAAAAATCATGAAACTGATAAAGCTAATCCGATTACAGATTGCTTGACATATGCAATGGGTTTGATGTGTCATTGGGATCTGCATTGAGTTCTAGGAATAATTGAATATCGAGTATTTGTGTTGCGTAATAACCAAGGGATTACTGAATGAGTCAGTGACTGATGACAGATCGATGATCAATGAGCAGCCTTTATAGGCACTTTTGTCATATGAAATTCGAAACAGCTGAAGAGAACCTTCAAGCTGTGATAATATACAATATACGTAAATAACAAATAAGAGGGAACTGAGTAACAGAACTGAACTACATCACAGCTAAATAAAATAAATAAATTTTTACTTTCTCTAAGTTCTATATTATCGTACTTGTGTTGTTTAGATTACACAATTGCGTTGTATAGATGCAACACTTATTAAACATATAATAATAAATAACTATTTAAACTCTACTCGATGCTCTATTCATTTATTGTTAGCTAGCTGGAGCAACCTATTCCAAAAAGGCTTTAACTGTTAGAGATTATCTCCCCACTTATTATATCTCACATATGCAAGGCTATTAAAAATCTAACATATATGTACATTTACACTTATGCTTACCAACTTGAACTATATCGACCTCAAAGCGCTATTAAAATTCGGTAACATTTGCATACATATATCTTACGGACAAAGCGCTCCATTTGTGTTTGCCAAATAAAAATCTAGTTTAGGTCTCTGATTTTTATGTTCTACTAATGATGCTCGCGTTCGGCCATAAAATCACTTGATTTGATTGATTCAATTCAAGATCATAAATTTGTCATAAACATTTTGCATGGAAACTGAAAGTTGTGAGTCACAAGCAACAAAATCGTAGCCAACAAATCCCGGCATACTTTCAGGCACGGCCCAGAAATAAGCGGAGAAAAATCAAGTTCGTTGCCTAAGTCTTTCGTTTACAAAGCTTTCAACTGAGGCCACGGCGCATTTCACTTTGCTTCGTAATAATTTTATGCCATCGACTGAGACATTTAGCACCTTATTTGCGTTCGCCATTAGCCAAAATGTGCGAATTGTTTATAAAGAGATTACAAAACGCAGTCACAGCCGCAGCCTCAGCCTCAGCCTCAGCTTCTCTCAGCGGAACTTGAGTAATATACAGAAATATAAATATATGTATATATATTTTGCTACTGTCATAAAAGCGTAAAATAACGCTTACTTTGAGCCATTTTATGAGCCAAATAGAAAACTGAAAACTGCAATAGAAAGTTTTTTTTGCGCCCCCTCAGCATAAATAGCGACTTTGGCGTGCCGGAAGCAAACAGTTGTCGAACGCAAGTCGAAGTCAAGCAAAATGAAGTCGGTTGCCGCACAGAGATCCCTATTGATGCTAGCGCTGCTGCTGCTGGGCAGCTGCCAGGCCGCGCCAGTGAAGGAGGAGCAGCGTGAGCAGCGGAACATGAAGATGATGACGCCAGCAGCGGAGGCGGATGTCAAGATGATGGCGACGGCGGGCACAGGAAACATGACGCCAGTCTCGATGAGCGTCGGCGGCGCGTTGCCCATGAATCAGATGGCTCTGGGCATGGTGGGCAACATGCAGCTGGCACGCTATCCCAACTATCCCGGCTTGATGTCGCCCTTCGGCCTGCAGGCTGGCATTGCCAACGGCTATCCCGGCGATGCCAGCATGGGCCTGGGCATGGGTCTGCCCGGCGCCGGACTGGGCCTCGGAGGTGGCATCATGCCCGGAGCTGGATATGGAGCGGGCATCGGTGCTGGCATGGGAGTTGCGCCTGGATTAGGATTTGGTGCTGGTCTGGGAGCACCTATGACTGGAGCTGGCTTTGGAGCTGGTCTTGGAGCTGCACCTGGCGCCGGACTTGGCGGCTTTCCCAACACTGGCTTCATGCTCGGCAATCCACTCTTTGGCAATCAGCAAGCTATGCCTGGCTTCGGTCTGGACAACATCCTTGGCATGGCCAATGCCCCAGGTCTAGCCCCAACTCACGCTGGCATCTTTGGCCAGCCAGGCGCGTCGCTCGGCCTGGCATCCATGCAGGGCTTCCTTGGCGGCGATGCCATGGCCATGCACTTTTAATGCAAATTCACTGAAAACTTACAACAAATTCTCTCAATTATTTATTTAATTTATTTAGCTCAAATATATCAAGTGCGAACATTTAATGGAATTTCTTATGCATCGTTGCCCATTGAAAGAGTTGCCGGCGCTGCTGCAACTATTGCTGTTGCAGCAGCTGCTGCTGTTGCTGCTGTCGATATTTATGCTGCTGCTGCTGCGGCGGCTGATGCTGCTGCACTGGTTGATGTCGCTTGGCGGCCAGCGTGTAGGCGCCCTTGCCCACAAAATGATTCGGCAAGACGGCCACGCGTCTCTGCTGGGCCGCAAAGCTGGCCAGGATCAGGTAGAGACTCAAGCAAAGCCACAGCAAAAACTTACAGCTCATCGTGCCTAGAACTTTTTCCGTGTACTGCCACTGCAGCGGGCAACAGTTGCTGCTTTTATGCAACTGGCGTCGCAGCCAGCTGGAAAGCTGGAAAGTGGATTAACCGGGGACTTGGCGGCTTAAGCACTGCTCCAAGTGGCTGCCAGTTAACTGGGACTCATTGGAGTAGTTGCTCTTAACTGGGACTAGGCTTAGTTGAGTTGTTGCCGTTGGTGTTGCCGTTAACTAGTTTCGAGGCTCGCGCATATTTCACAACTGTCCCAAAAGGCAAAAAGTCGCTAATTGTGCTGACAGCCGGGCCGAGTCGAGTTGGGTTAACTCCACTTGAGTTGAGTTGAGTTGAGTGTCAAGTGCAAGGCGACAAGCAGGTCCAAGATGAAACTGAAGTGTTGACCAAGATATTCAATACAGGTACACACACACACACACTCACACAGAGATAGAGAGAGAGAGAGCTCTAATTTGTTAGTCACTTGGCAATTGGCTCGTTAGAAAGTGAAATTTGTAGGGTCCCATTGTTCGGCTAGAGACAATGGCACATGTTGTTTTCCATGGAAGCATTAGCAGTTATAAACCATTCCATATACCCTGCTAAAACAGTTTCAATGGCCTGAGGGTATTCACAAAAATAAAGCAGCAAGACCATTGCGAATCGACGTGAGAGTCAAGTAGAATGTGGCTGAGTTATGCTACCTGTGGCTGTGGTTTCTTATGGCATTTGCTTAATGGGTAAGCAGGAATCGGAATGAATGAAAGTGCCTTTAGAAAAGGTTTTGACTAAGAGCCGGCATATGAAGACTGTGCCAAATAGAGCTGTTGGATCAAAAGATATCCTAGATTGAATGAAATCGAATTAGAAAAATCTTTTAAGTAATAAAAATGAAAACAAAATTTAATCAATATTTATCCATTTCTATAAAGATATCAATAAATATATTCGAAGTAGTATATATATATTTTTTCTAGTAGGATATTCAGAAGTCATGGTTCTTTTAAGGTTTTTATATGGAGAGGGCCTTCTCATCTAGATTTCTAAGCTCAATAGACTTCATCGAGTCGGCCTCTCATCGACTCGCTCTCTCTCATCGACTCTCCAGTTTGTGAGCCCTATGCACTCCTTAGCCTATATGGACTCTATATTCACAGTGCTGTGCCTCTAACTGTCACATGCCCTTCCATTCAACCCATCTACCCTCTTGTAACCCACTTTCGATTGTTGCCATCCCTAAAAAAGAAATTCATTCAATGCAATTTTCGCCCATTTTTCACCCTTGCAGACGAATTTCCAGCTGTTCTTTTGTGCGCAAACCTAAATCGACTTCTAATTGAGTCCCAAAACAGATTTTTGTCCTCTACTTTTATGATTTATAACAGCTTGTGTTATTGCAGGAGATTTCGAAAAGAGATTTGACAGCGATTCAAAAGAGATTTGTAAACTGAGACCAAAAACATTTCTGACCTGCGCTACAGTTTTACCTAACGGAGAGTTTATACAGGTGAGTGGTGAGTGGTGTGTGAGTGTGTGTGTGTGTGTGTGTGTGAAGCAGGTATGACACAGTTAATCAGTAAATGCTCTCGAAAGCCATGTGCAGCATGCAAAGGTCTGTTTGCAGAAGACTTAGCTCGATTGGCCTAGGAGAGTAGAGCCCGAGCCGAGTCTAGAGCGGATTGCGTTGCAGCGGCTCATATAAGACGCAACTCGTTCCACTTGCCGTGCAACAGTTTCTTATTAAACGCCAGGCAAGTAGGACACACACTCATCTCGAATGCTCAACACATCGGCGACGACTGTGGGCAGCTGTCTGCTGCTGATGCTAATACTAGTGCTGCTGCAACTGGGCGTGGCCATGCCCTGGTGGCATCGGAACGATGCGGGCTACGATGCCAGCTTGGATCCCGTTGCCTGGTCTCGGGCCTTCGTTCAGGATCAAGTTCGCAAGCCGCGCATCAGTCAGCCGATGCAATTGCCGCAGCTGGAGCAGCACCGGCGCAGCTGGTGGAGCAGCAGCAGATCCCACAACAGCAACAGCAACAACAACAACAGCATCAGCAAGAAGAAGAAGAACAACTACAAGAAATTCGTGCGCCGACATCGCAAAAGGCGTCTGATGCTGCGTCAAACGAGATGTTAAGCAACTCAACTGCCAATTAGCGTAATAAATTATTTGCCAGAAACTATGTTTAAACAGAAAAAATAATATACATATATACATTTATTAAAGTATTAAAAGAAAGCTGCTTAATTTTCAATTTATAGCACAAAAGTTGGGAATTTTATTAGACAGCTCAATTCGGACAGAGAAATAAGATCAAACCAGGCCAGCAGCATCTATTCCTCTCTCTCCCTCTATGTCTCTCTCTCTCTCTCTCTCTCCTTCTCACTCTCTATCTCTGTCCACTGCTTATCAACACTTCTTATCAGCAACTTCGATTACAAAATCTATTGCTGATCAAATAGATAAACTGTTGCTAAGGTCAATTGGATTACGTTTCAAGACCAAATCCCGCCAATGCGAAGGCGGTAAAAACATATGCAAACATGATGTAAGCGAGTCCCAAACGCCACACAAGCAGCTAAAGACCTAAGCAAACTATGCTGAGCTAGACATAGAGAAAGAGTCACAAGTAGAGTCAGTGTCACAGCCAGAAGCTAAGTCAGCCCAATCAAAATTTAGCACCAACCGTTAAAGACCTCTGCGAGCGTAACGACTAAGAGATGCTCTCCCATATATATTTCATAATTTCCGTTTTAAGAATACATTGTATTGAAAACTGATGAAAATTAAAAATTTTAAAAAAATCCTAAAAACTAAAATAAATTTTTAAAAATCAGTTCATTAGAAATATTGAATTATAAGATTAAGTAATTTTCAAAAAACATAATTAAATTATAATTATTGTAACAAAATCTACTAAAATTTTTTTATGTTAAAAATAATCTGCCTTTAAAGATCTTATTGAAAATAAGAAATATTGAATTATAAGATTAAGTAATTTTCAAAAAACATAATTAAATTATAATCATTGTAACAAAATCTACTAAAATTTTTTTATGTTAAAAATAATCTGCCTTTAAAGATCTTATTGAAAATTAAAAAAAAAAAATTAGAATTTAAAAAATTTAAGACGGTTTATTTTAATAATTATTAAGAATTAGATATATTAATCATAATCATAACTTTAATTTTATAATAAATACAAAGCAATTTTGTATATAAGAACAACGAAGATTTTTTTCTCAGTGTACACACACACATACACACACACAGATGATGTTCGCTCAACATGCAGACTCTCAAAAATATGAATGAATGAATGAAAGTACATTTGGACATGAAAAGCAAGCACAAAGTCGCAATGTGGACAGACGCAATTAGCAGCTACACGCACGAGCCACGCCCCAGCCGTAGCGCCCAATAGATCAGCCAGAAGTAATGCTGTGCATATATAAGCATGGATCTCAGTCACTTGCAGATTAAGTACAAATCAGTTAACAGCCCAACCAACATGAATCTTCTCGCRCTGAGCCTTTGCCTTTGCCTTTGCCTGATCGCCTCTGGCTGGGCGGCGCCTGCGGTGGTGGAAATTGAGCCACTCAATCTGCTGGATGTGGATGGAGACCTGCAGGTGGAGCGATCGGAGCTGCCGGAGAGCGAGCGTGTGGCACGTGGCCTGGGACTCGGTGGCTTCGGCGGTGGTTTCGGTGGCCTCGGTGGCAAATTCGGTGGCTTCGGCGGCTTGGGTGGCTTGGGTCACGGCTTTGGCGGTGGATTCGGCGGTCACGGCTTTGGCGGTGGCCTGGGACATGGCTTCGGCGGCGGTCTTGGCAGCTTCAAGGGCCTCTTCAGCAAAGGCTTTTAATGGCTAGGCTTAAGAATAAGTTTTTATTATTAAATTTTGTAACAAATTCTAGTTGTAATAAGTGAAAAAAAATGGCAAAATGAAAACACTAAAAATTTTGCGTTAAATAAATCGGATTTAATGCTCCATAATATTGCAGCTCCGGCTGAGCATCGTAGTCCACATCAGCGTCAGGCGTGGTGCTGCGCAATTGCACGCGTGGTGCCTTGGTGGTGCGCCAACTGCGAATGACTTGATGCAGCTGACCCACAAAGCCGCGCCACAGATTCAGCGGTGATTGAGGGGCTAAGAAAGAGGATTGAGAATGAGAGTCAGGGAAGGTTGAGAACTGAGAGAGGTTTCTTCTGATGCCTACCCGCCGTGGTTGGTGGTGCCACCTGTGCATCGTACTCCAGCTCATCTAAGCAGCAGACGCCGACTAGCAACAGCCACAGCCACAGCATTAGGCCAATCAATCGCAACATTTTAAGCTCAAATCAAAACTGAGCCCAAGTCGTTGGCAAATTTATATAGGCGCGCCTCAGTCCAAAGGGCTCTTGGCCACTTTCTCATCATAAAATCGCGAACAATCATAACTGGCAGGCCAAACATAACGAGTGAGTGGTTGTACAGAGAGCGACACAGACTGACTGGCAGATACTCTGGGAACAGTGCGATCGATTATCGATAACCCAAAAAGTTTCTTTTCCAAAGCAAGCTAAACAGATTTTTAAGGTTATAATAGATATATATCGATAGGTATTACATGTTGATCGATTTTAGTAAACCCAAATAAAATTCATTTCTTTGATTCATTTCTTTGCGCAGAAGAATGAAAAAATTAAGACTTATACAGAATTATAGAACTATATTATAGACCTATATATATATTATGACTCATCCTAGTGGCCTTACCTACATAATTCTTATATATTAAATATCTTTCTTTGTTAAAATCAACTTCCAGCCTCTCTCTTAGTTGACGTCATTCGAAAGCCCACATGAAACTCCCTATGCCTGCTATTAATAATATACAGGGTATCAAAGCGCACATCACTTGCCGAAAAGCAAATATTTAAAAATCACACATATTTATTGAGGCAACGCCAATCGCTGTGCCGCACACAATGGAATATCACAAATATCAAATATATATCTATCGACATATTAAAATCCAAATAAAAGAGCTAACTTTAGCCGTAGAAGCCGACGCCTCCGAAGCCACCACCGAAACCACCGTAGCGGCCGCGATAGCGCGTGCGCGTAACCACACGAGTGCGCTGGAAGCCGTAGCCACCGCCGAAGCCACCGTAGCCACCGTAGCCACCGCCAAAGCCACCAAATCCACCTCCTCCATAGTAGGGTGGCGGCAGTCCACCGTAGAAGAGCGGCGGTGGTGGGCCAAAGTATTGGCGTACTTTGCGAGCACCGCCCTCAGTGTCATCAGCATCCGCTGTGGCATTTGCAACCACATCCGTTTGAGAACTGTCGCCAGATGTTAGCAGCTCCATTTGTGGTTCCTGCACCACCAGTGTTTCCTGCACCACCTCTGACTCCGGCGCCGTCTGTGACTCCGGCACCACCTGTGGCTCCTGTGGCGCCTGTGGCTCCTGTTCCTGAACCACAGGCAGCACTTCTTGCTGCTCCACTGCACCACACAGCACCACGCAAATGCCCAGCAGCAACAGCGGGCCAAACTTCAGGTATTCCATTTCGAATTTTGTGAGCTACTAAAAGTGAGCATCGAGCCGAGCTTGAATTTATAGTCAAATATTAGAAGAATTAACTTAATGGAGAGGTTCAATAACATTTCTTGACTGTCATTGAAAGGTTTTTTATTCTTTGGGTTTTTTTTTTTTTTTTTGCCGCACCACCAAAAAGGCAAAGAGTAATTACACTTAAAAGCCACTAGATGAGGGTTGTGTTTGACTTTTAAGTTGTTTACTTCCAATTGAATTCGAAATGAAGCCAATCTTCAGATCATGCTGACAGATGCGGAAGCTTTATAGATGTATTACTTTGATATATGGGGTCCAGATATGCGCTACAGTAAACGACCTTAGCATGGCCAACTGTGAAGAATGTGATTTATGTGTGGCTGATTAACAATTTGTAATAATTATACCAAATATTTAATGATATTTAGGAGGTTTATGCGTGGCATTTCATGAATTGATAATGTTTTGAGTAAAGTATAATGATATAATGAATGGGTGATTTTATATAGAAATAAAATTTGAGGAGCGTTTGTGATATTTCTGCATCTAATATACTCTGAATGTATGTTTCTGAAATTTGTGACTTTTCAAGCATTTGAATTTGAATTTTTAAGTATAAAGGTTTTTGACCTACTCTACATTTTAGGAATCGTACTTGAAATACACATAAAACATACTTCATTCAATTCGTAAGAAATATTCATCTGTTTAACAATTTGTCGCTAACAATTAATATTTCTTAAGGAAACTTGATATATTTGTCCACAGTACTTGAGATTCAATGATCGCACTCTACCGCTCCTCCACTGTACTTGATCTCTCCCTCTCTCTCTCTCTCTCTCTCTGTCTCCTTCTCTCTTACTCTTTCTCTTAAGCACAGCTGCCGATCGGATTTAACGCTCAGCCAAAAGGCATAAAAGAGTCGATGATGTTTTTTTCCGAATGGCCTCATAAGATGTTTGTTGTTGTTGCGCTATTTGTGTATTTTTATTTAGCTAAACAAACAAAACCAAGCTGAAAGCGTAAAATGAAACTGGAATAACAACAACAGCAGCAGCAACGGAGCTACGAAGAAACTGCAGCATCATCAGAGTAATGAGAGCTCCAAGATGTGGACTTATGTATAGAGATCTTGTATGCACATGGTATATATCACACTTTATTTGGAAATATCTACATTTAACATGATAAATCTTAAATTTCATTTATTATTATTTATGCTCAGCTATTCATAATATTGTTTTTTTAAGAAAGAGTGCATAAATATTTAAAAAATTTT